CCAACTATTCGCATAGAAAAACGGGTTTAAGTGAATTGCTGAGAATGCTTAATTGAAGTTTCCGCGCAGATCTCAAGCCTCGGAGCAGATTTGGACATAATAATCTTGTGGCAGGTAGGAGATAGCTGTATGGGAATATTGAGAAGGCGGAAACGGAAATGCGATCCTTTGGATTTTTGGACCACCACGACTTCTCTTTTGCTATTTTGACGAAAAACGATTTTGGGCTTACCCTCTGAAGACCTGCTGCCGTGTCCTGATCACTTGCCCCAGGAAGCTATGGTACCGGGCTAACGATGAAAGGAAAGAATGGTTGCGCTTTGTTTTGACTCCTGGAAGATTGCGCTGGATAGCCACTCTTGATCAACGATGTTTAAGCGCTTCATTCAAATCAGTTGGGTGGTGAGATATCAAGTGAATGATGCATTAATAAGATCTAGCGCAGTAGCATTCCGTATTTGCTTAATGCAAAAGTACATGGCTTTGCGCAAGTTCTCAAAGCTGAGAAGGCTCTACCCTAGTTTTGACATCATGTCATACATAAAAACAGAAAATTTTTGCTTTCAAAAACTGTCAATATTCTATGCTCCTCTATATTTTCTTTGACTTAGATCCAAAAAAATTGGGAGAACACGGAGGATGCAACACATTTTCTCTTCCTTACAACGCCAATATTTTAGATTTCATCACGGTTCGATTAAAATATATTCAAGGAACACACATGCAATCACTACTTCTACATGCGCTCCATATCGACAGATGTTACATAGTTAAGAGTACACAGGAAAATTTTGCGTTAGTTGCCGGTTTACTTGCTTTATGGAAGCAATATTTTGGTTTCTGCTCAACCAGGAGAGAGGAAGATGCTTAGAAAAGCCACATACAACGTTTGCACACTTAAGAGGCTTTCTAATTTCATTCTTCTTCAGTACAAAAAAATCTTTTATTCATTCCTCACTAGACAACCATAAGTCTCACGTGGTAAAAGCTCAAATAAAGATCAACAATTAATGTATAATGTTT